GGAAAAGTGCTTGTCAGACTTTTCTAGTAACTAGCCACAAAATTAAAATCAATTCTTATTTATTATTGTGTTAGATTTCAGATCTATTAGTCACTAAAGCATGTCCCTTTGAATCAGTGCAATGACTTTATGTTTAAGAAAAATCCAATGCAACCCAATTATCTGTAAGAGTGGAATTAGGCTTATCTTAAACCAGTCATGCAAAAATGATTTTACCATAGATGGAATTCTCAGATCCCTGTTCATCTTCCCATTCAGCATTAACAGATACTTATGCTCTGAAGAGAGAAAATGCAGAATAGAGAGGTTAACTCTTACACGTCGCTGTTAGGATATCAGGTCCACTATCAAACTTCTCTGCAGGATTCATGTAACTGTTGTCCTATCCCCTCCAGCCTACCTTCTTGGCACTTTTAAGTATTTTCTGGTGATAGTTGAATGGTATAATGCTGTAGCCAATTTTATTTGCTGATATATCTTCTTTGGACAGTAAATGGGACTTAGTCTGATGCAACTCAGGGCAAATGTGCATAAGTTTCTGGCACTTACCGAGGGTAGCTGGATATGGCCCCCGCCATGCTCTTTTCTTTATGTTGTGATATTGGGTTTGTTGCTCTTCCTTATTACTCCCCCCAGTGTCCCTCCCCACAATCACAATGCCACAGTCTTTGAACAAATAAGAGGAATCTGAGTGAGCAGAACAGGAAAGACTTTGGAGATTTCGCTAACAGAGATGGAAGGATACAAAGATGCTGTCTGAGGAGAAAAATTCACATTCTGTTATTCCCATTTCTATGTTATTTATACCCACAAAATATCAAGACCCATCACAGATGTACCATTCAAGCTTTGAGGATAATTCCAATGGTGTTCTCTGGCCCTGACCTAGCTTAAGGTCATAGTGTCCTGCTTTCTGGTCATGGCTTCCTGACTGCAGCATGGTGCCTTTGTTAGTAATCCCGGAAATCCAGGAAAAAGGCACCTTTGTAGGAGCTGGGAAATAAACTGCCTTAATTCCCCAATTCTCACTATGTGTTTCTGCCAGTTAATGTGGACACCCATCCTTTAGCTGGTTGACACAGCCATGATTGCTGCTGTCAAAAAGTCAATTAGGCTATGCATCTCAGCCTTCATCTCAGAGAGAAAAAAGTTTCTGTATTTCTGAAGATTCAACCTTCAGGTTCAAAGTCACCATCCTAAGTCTGGGTGCCAAAAGGGCTGCCTTTAAGGACCTCTTCCCCTGTTCAGAGCCTCTGAGACATTTTTCATTATCTCTCACCTTAGTAAATTTCTCTAAACTTTCTTTCCAACTTCTGATCTTGATTACTCTCTTTTCTTTTTTCATTTCCTCATGTTCTTTGACACTTTCTAGAGCATCCCACCCGATAGGGTTAATTATTTCTACTTTTCTTTATTTTCTGTTACAATTTTTAGCATACACTACCAAGGCATAAAAAACCAATGTTTACTCAAAAACACACAAAGCAGTAGCTCTTGTCTATAGTAAAAGAAGATACCAAAGCAATTAAAGATCAATTATACTCTAGGCTAGAAATCAGAGAGCTGTGTCATCATTTTGGTTTTACCATTTCTAATTGTGTGACCTTGGACAAGTCAATTTCACAGAACCCTTAACTCATTATTTGTAAAATGACCTCTAATACCCATCCTGGTCAAATGTTCTATGATTTTTAAAAAGTTATTTTGGTGAAGTCAACCATATCTTCCTGTTAAAACAAAACTCATGTTGAACCAAAGAAAATAGAAAATACTCTTTTTTTTTTTTTAAAGCATGCATTAGGCACTTACATATGAGCTAAAATATGCCTACCTTTGGATCTATACATGTAGGTTAACTATTGCTACAATGTTGTGTAATAATCACACAATTTCAGTGGCATGCAACAGTATTTAACTTATGTGCCTGTTGAGGTAGGCTGTGGGTTTTGCTGATCTAGACTGGCCCAGCCTTGGGTGGTTCTGCTCCATGAGCCTTTCTTTTTCTTCTTGACACTAGTAGGCTAGTCTGAAAATGATCTTCTCATGCTGATGGTAGAAAAAAAGAGAGTGAAACCAATCATAGAAGTACTTTTCAAACCGTGGGTTAGTCATGCCCATGATACTCCATTGCAAAACAAATCACATTGTCAAGTTGAGGTGTGCTCCTAGTGTAGGTGGGTAAGGAAATGAATATATGCATAACAATGTTAGCTAACACATAGTGCTTTGGAAATGAGCGACAAACACGTTTACATACGGCTTTTTCTAAGTGAAAATGAAACTTTAGGGATTAGAGTCTAGTATTGCTATTTCTCCTATGAGACAGAGCTAAATTCACTTCTAGTGACAGGAGTTGCTGGTTGAGACACTCTGTGAATTTACTTGCACACAATTTAGGGTTCAAATGAAACTGTCATTTTAGTCAAATAAGGGTGGTCAAGCTCACAGCACTACCTAAAAGGCAACTGGAGCCCCTCCAATTTGCAGGTTTGTGAAAAGTTCCTCTGAACTACTCACTGAAGATCCCTCCATTTATAAGCAACTGCTCACTCTATTCAAGTGGTAATGAATGTACAAATGCTGGCTGGAACTTAATTACGAGACTAAAACAGTGTACTTCAAAGAAGAGCTAATATAAAAACATAGTGAGACACCTGTCATGTGATAGATTGATAAATTACATGGATTTATGTTATACTGTAAAACTGTCTCTCCCTTTAGTGAAACAATCCAAATACCTCCAACTCTGCCACTCTCTACCCCTACTTTCTACTTATATTCACATGTTCTAGTAAAACAGTAAAATAAAGCCATAATGCTTTGTACACAAATTACTGATGATTAAGTCGCATTAAATACAAATAACTATACACATGAAGCAAAGCAGCAGCCATATATATGAAGCTAGCATGTGTTTCTTGAGAGCTAATAAGGAATTATAGATAAATAATTAAGGCAGGTAAACCATTTATTTTTCTAGTTGTTGAGCTGTATTTTAGTAATCTATTGCTATGTAACAAATTACACTCAAATTTAATCATGTTAAACAATAAGCACTTATTATTTTATAGTGTTAGAAGTTCAGAAGTTTAGAAAAAGGCTTAGCTGGGTAGTTCTGGCTCTCTTTAGGTCTTGGTCAAAAGATCAACTGAAGTTGCAATTATCTAAAGACTTGACTGGAGGCTGGAGAATCTGCTTCCAAGATGGCTCCCTTACATGGCTGGCAAGTTGGTGCTTATTAGCAAAATACCTCAGTTCCTTGACAGGTAGATTTCTCAATAGGGTTGCCTGGGTGTCTTCATAGCATGGGAATGGACTTTTCCCAGTGTCAGTGGTCAAAGAGAGATCAAAGTGGAAGCCACAGTGTATTTTGTGACCTAGCCTTGGTCATTTCTAAGCTTTTTTGGCTATACCAAGGATGAGACTGGTACTCCATCTCAACATTGTGCAAGTGCACTACCCTGAGTGTGAATACCTCCTTAAATTTTTTTCCCTAGATACATTGATTGCCTCACCTTAATCCTGGCCCCAGGTTACACAAATCATCTGTATTCAGCATCGGAGGGAACAGTATAAGGGTGTGAATAGTAGGAGGCACAAACATTGGGGCTCATCTTGGTGGCTGGCCACCACAAGAGTTAAGCATCTACCTAAGATTCTGAGTGATGAGAAAGAACTTCCACTGGCTCGATGGTTCTCAACTTTGCTGAATATGTGAATCATCTGAGAGTGCTGATGCCTGTGCCTCACTCCTCAGACATTCTGATTTAATTAAACTGAAGTGTGACAGCCATGGTATTTAAGAAAAAGACATAATCTCCAAATAACTCTGCACAAGGTATTCTCATGTGCAGTCAGGGATAAGCATACTGCAAGTGAACTGAAGTTTCCTTTTGAGACTAAAGTCCACACAGAATTTGCCTATCACTATCTGTCAACAACATCTGTTTTTCCCTCCTGGAGCAGGGAGTGTGGGAAGGTTTCAAGAGACGAGGAGGATTAGTCATTTATTCCCTCACAAACTGTTGCTGAATACAGAACATGTCTGGCTGACTAGGTTTCTTCTCTGACACCTGCACATTCTGCTTCAACTGTTCTGTAAAAGATTGGTAGGAGCAGGGTTAATTAATCAGTGCTGATCTGATTTGAGGCTCTTTCTCTTTTTCAAAACAGATCAAAACAGGCAGGTTAAACAAACAGGAAAGTCCCCAGATGAAAAAGAGAAAAACAGGAATTAGATGAGTAGCGTTGGACGTAGGCTGCCTGTTTACTTACAAAACAGTTTGGTACCAGTTTGATGGACATACACATGAAGGCACTCAGATGAAACCACTCTTGGCTAATATAATTTTAGAGGCCAGTGGAGTTTTATATCTTCCGTGCTACTTGGTTGTTGGCTAGTTATCTCTTTGATCCCTCTTCATCCGGGTCCATGTGGCAGGAGTCTGGGCTGAACATGGTGGGAAGACAGTGAAGGAGGATTGAAAATATGGTTCCTGTGCAAAGTATTCTGTTTTCCGTCCATGAAAATAAACAACAGAATTTCAATATGAAGACTAACCATACTTCTCCATTACTTGGCAGCCTCATTAGAACTTTTACATTTTCTTTTTCCTGTAATTATCATCTTAGGGAATGCAACAAAGGCCCAGGATTTTGGCAAGGAGTTTACAATGTTGATAGATGTTCAAATAAGAGGATCAGGCAAAGGCATACACTTGAAACCATTGCTGTCCCTCCCTCAGAGAATTTAAATGAAAATACTGTATTTTTTTAATGATGGCAGACTAATGTGTACTTCTTACATAAGCAAGAAAACCACTACAAATTGCATTGAGTGTGAACATGACATATCCTCTCACTCTTGGTTAAGCTTCAGGCATTTGGAGATGAAGCGGGGTGAGTTGCTGGGAAAACAGGTCACTCACTTCTGAATTCCATTTCAGCTGCAGCAAAGGCGTGGCTGAAGAGCGACTATATTAATAAAGCACAATGTCTACCTTCTCAATAGGATTCCAGCAGAGTTCTGCCATGGGGCAAAGTCTCACGAGACTAGAGGGTCTCCATCTCATGATAAGGCGGATCACTTTCGTTGGGCTCTTGAATGCAAGTGTACTTGATAGGAGGGGGTGGTGGCTTGAAAGGTGGAGGTCTTTCCATGCTAGGAACAAAATATTGGTCTTTCAGTGCCAAGAATGTGAGGCAGTCTTACGCACACACACACAGACGTGCTTTGTTTCTTTAAAGGAGAACACAGATTGATGAGAAAGAGACATACCCTCCCAGTTCTTTCAGCATTTTTGCTGGCATAACCCTGTGCCTGTTAGTCCTGTCAACCATTTGAACCTCATGATGTTACTATTAGTTAATATTTAGATAGTACTTTGTAGTTTGCAAAGCGTTTTTATCGTAACATTATTTACTTTGTGTGCAGGAAATGCATCACCATCTACAGATAAAACTGAGGCTCAGAGGTTTTAAACAACTTGCTCAAGAGAACCAGACGGACAATTCAAGTCTTTTCACCAGAACTGATACTCTGCATGAAAACTGCCTCCTAATAGAAGAAATGTTTCTCTTATGTGGATTAAAATTTTCCTCCTGAGACTAAATCTTAAAATTCTAGGATTTAAGACTGAAGCTTTTCATGTAGCCTCTTTGCTAACCCTAGTCCTAGCCTTTGCCCGAACACTCACTATGTACTCTGGGGATATGGTAGAGATGGGAAGTAAATCTCTTCTTGAGCCCTGAGTACTGGCTAGATAATGCCTAAATCCCTTTTGTTTGAATCAGTGAACATTCTTAAAGCCATCTTTGCACAAAGCACTATTTTATGTTAGTGCAAGTCATCTCTTTTTCAGAGATGCGTTAAAGAGCCAAGTTAGTGTGGAATTTAGCTATACAAATGCTCTAGCTATCTTGATATCAGGAAACAGAAATATATCTGTGAACATCTTTATGTCCATCACTCAAACACTTCCATGCCCTGGCAATCCATAGCCTCTTAGGAGAGATAAAGAGTGGGTGGTGGGGGAAGGAGGATGGAGAGATTGATTCTCATCTCCATATAAAACAAACATTTGAATACGGAACAATTTAAAAAATCAATTCAGATTTTCAGATTTCATTTGTTCATTTAATATAAAACTCTCTAATCCCTGTTACCCAATTTTCAGATGCTTTAATGGAGACTTCATATGTATTAATAGGTAGGTACAATGCTACGAAATGTGCACTTTTGTTTTACTTTTGTTTTTTGGAGGAATTATGAGTTTCTCAAGGTCATGTGGTGGCCAAATTGTAGTCCTTGGAAAAGAACCCAGAATTTCTAACTTCTGGTTTAGTGTTGTATTCACCACTCCCTGTATGGGGTTATAGAGTCTTCAAGGATACTCTGCAAAAGGTAGAAAAGCATATGGCAAGATGGTTAATGTTATCTTAGAGCAGTAGTAAGACAAGTGGAAGATCAGCTCTGGGTACTGGGGTCTCTTCCAATGATGACCCAATCCAGACTGACTCAAAATGGCAAGTCAGAAAAATGAGGTTTAACCTTATGTACTATTTCAGCCTGCTGATTGGAGAAGGGTTTTGGAAAACATTTCAACAAGACAAAAATGAGTAACCCAATGCTTACTTTCTTTTCTGCTTGGGAAAAAAGGAAAAGGGCAGTAAAAGCCCACCCTAGTAAAAAAGCGGCTGGAAATCTCTTGAAATTACCTTTCTCACTCAATTTCACACTCGAGCACCTAGGACCAGCGGAGCCTAGGCAGTTCAAAGATGCATGAAAATGAAAAAATAATGAAGATTGAAAGAAAAATCAGTTTTAGTTTTGAGGGAAGGTAAGGCTCAGTTCTCATTTCATGTCCACAGACTTGCTCTATCTGATGAATGTTACAGCCTGACTAGGCCAATGCAGAGAGGGATACTGAGTCAGGAGTTGTGTATTTAATCCCAGCTGTGTGATGTTGGGAAAGCTATTTAATCTCTCTGAGCTTCTGTGAGCCTTATTTCTTCATTAAAATATGGGAGGAACTTCACAGAGTAATAATATATTGTACTGATGAACATTTTACAATGAAAAGTTGTCAGTTCCTATATATGTTAATATTATACTCACATTTCTTTTTGGTATTGACACCATTTTCTCACTCCAAGACCAAACAATATCATGCAGCAAAACAGTAAAGCTGCTACAATCACTGGCCAGGACATTCCATCTTTGGGCTTACTGACCACAATACCTGAAAAGGGCATAAAGAAAGATGAACTTTAATCCCAAACTTTGGCTTTTGGAAAACAGGATTAATTAAACTTTTTCTCCTATGTGAAACATATTTTCTTCAAAGGCCATGGGGATTCTCATTGGCTATGATCATACTCTGGAGGTGGGCATGTCTATGCCTTGTTACCTACACGAGGTGATAACTTTTAAGAATTAATGATGTATCCTATCAGAAAATTTCCATGGATATATATAAGCATACATATGTACCATGAATATATACCTCTTTTATTACAATTGGGGGCATATTATACACACTATTCTGTCCATGGCTTCTTTTTCATTTTTTCACTATTTTAGGTTCAGGGGTACATGTGCAAGTTTGTTATATAGGTAAATTACTTGCTGTGGGGATTTGGTGTACAGAGTATTTTGTCACCCAGGTAATCAACATAGTGCCTGATAGGTAGGTTTTTTTTGTTTTTGCTTTTTTTAATCTTTACCCTCCTCTCAACCTTCAGAAGGCCTCAGTGTTTGCTGTTCTCTTCTTCGTGTCCATATGTACTTAATGTTTAGTTCCCACTTATTGGTGAGAACCTGCTGTATTTGGTTTTCTATTCCTATGTTAGTTTGCTTAGGATAATGGTCTCCAGTTCCATCCATGTTGCTGCAGAGAATATTATCTCATTCTTTTTTATGGCTTCATAGTATTCCATGGTGTATATGTACCACGTTTTCTTTATCCAGTCACTGTGGATGGGCGTTTAGGTTAGTTTCATGTCTTTGCTATTGTGAATAGTACTGTGATGAACATATGTGTTCATCTGTCTTTATGGTAGAACAATTTATATTCCCTTGGGTATATATCCAATATAATAAGATTGTTGGTTCAAGTAGTAATTTTTTTTTTAAGTTCTTTGAGCAGTAGCCAAACTGCTTTCCACAATGGCTGAACTAATTTACATTCCCACCGGCAGTGTATAAACATTCCCTTTTCTCCACAATCTCACCTGCATCCGTTTCTTTCTTTCTTTTTTTTTTTTTTACTTTTTAGTAATAGCCATTCTAACTTATGTGAGATGGTATCTCATTGTGGTTTTAATTTGCATTTCTCTAGTGATTAGTGATTTTGAGCTTTTAAACTAATCTAAAAATGTAAAAACCATTTTACATTTTTAATTTTACATTTGACATGTTTTTAAAGAATAAGAGGCCAAAAGATGTACACCTGACCTCTTTTTCTTAAAAAATATTCTTGGAATACTTTCCACAGCACTGCACAGAGATTTATCTCATTCTATTAAATGACTGAATAGTTCAATGGATATACCAGTTTGTTTAATTTATCTCACAATGTTAGATGGTTAAATTGTTTCCAGACTTTGTTATTGCTAATGATACTCCAGTGAAATTTCTTATACATGATAGATAGATCTTTAGATACTTCGATTACATAGATCATTTGGGCAAAAAGCTATCTGGATTGGTTTTCTTTCCTTGTCTCAACTAGGTAGTAAACTGCTGAAGCAAGGATTTAAATTTCTTTCATTTCCCCGTTTTTATTACACTGCTTTTCATACAGCAAAATCTCAAAAAATACAGGTCAAAGAACTAGATTTAATATTCGCTATCACATCTTTTCTGTGTTTGTACAAAGCCTGGACTGAAACCATGTGATGTTATCATGTTAGCATTGGCTAGAGTATTGAAGACTGTTCCCTTTCATACAACATACATCCAGGGATTCGAGGTCTTCCTGATTCTCACCCCTGTCAACGTAGCAACTGAGGGTTCCCTGGAGACTCATGCAGTCCAATAATACATAATCATGTGATACATTGTATATACAGATGACTAGAAAGTTTACATAGTTGAAACCACTAGAGTAGCATGATCATGAAAGAGACAATTGGTCAACTCAGGTCTAGACAAAGTTCTGTTTCACACAAGTCAAAATTTACTAAGCTCCACCATGGTAATATGGTGAGATATAATATTTTACCTCCAAAGTTTTAGATAAAGGAAAGAACAAAAGGTTTTATTTTATTTTTCTATAAGTTATTGGGGTACAGGTAGTATTTGATTACATAAGTTCTTTAGTGGCTATTTATGAGATTATGGTGCACCCATCACCCAAGCAGTATACACTGCACCATATTTGTAGTCTTTCATCTGTCACCCCCTCCCACTCTTCCCTTCAAGTCCCCAAAGTCCATTGTGTCATTCTTATGTCTTTGTGTCCTCATAGCTTAGCTTCCCACATATCAGTGAGAACCTACAATGTTTGATTTTTCATTCCTGAGTTACATCACTTAGAACAGTAGTCTCCAGTCTCATCCAGGTCACTGCAAATGCTGTTGATTCATTCCTTTTTTATGGCTATGTAGTTTTCCATAGTGTGTGTATGTGTGTGTGTGTGTGTGTATGTATGTATGTATCTATCTATCTATCTATCTGTCTATATAAAAAACAGTTTCTTTATCCACTCATTGATTGATGGGCATTTGGGTTGGTTCCACAATTTTGCAATTGTGAATTGTGCTGCTATAAACATGCATGTGCAAGTATCTTTTTTGAATAATGACTTCTTTTCCTCTGGGCTGATATCCAGTAGTGGGATTGCTGGATCAAATGATAGCTCTACTTTTAGTTCTTTAAGGACTCTCCACACTGTTTTCTATAGTGGCTGTACTAGTTTACATCCCCACTAGCAGTGTAGAAGCATTCCCTGTTCACCACATCCATGCCAACATCTACTGTTTTTTTATTTTTTTGGTTATGGTCATTCTTACAGGACTAAGGTGGTATCTCCTTGTCGTTTTGATTTGCATTTCCCTGATTATTAGTGATGTTGAGCATTTTTTCATATGTTTGTTAGCCATTTGTATATCTTTTGAGAATTGTCTATTCATGTTCTTAGCCCACTTTTTGATAGGGTTGTTTGCTTTTTTCTTACTAATTTGTTTGAGTTAGTTGTAAATTCTGGATAGTAGTCGTTGGTCAGATGTAGAGATTGAGACAGTTTTCTCTCACTCTGTGGGTTGTCTGTTTACTCTGATTACTGTTCCTTTTGCCATGGAAAAGCTCTTTAGTTTAATTATGTGCCAGCTATTTATCTTTGTTTTTATTGCATTTGCTTTGGGTTCTTGGTCATGAAATCCTTGCCTCAGCCCATGTCTAGAAGAATTTTTCCAATGTTATCTTTTAGAATTTTTATAGTTTCAGGTCTTAGGTTTAAATCCTTAATCCATCTTGAGTTGATTTTTGTATAAGGTGAGAGATGAGGATCCAGTTTAATTCTCCTACATGTGGCTAGCCAATTATCCCAGCACCATTTATTGAAAAGGGTGTCCTTTCCCCACTTTATGTTTTTGTTTGCTTTGTTGAAGATCAGTTGGCTGTAAGTAGTTGGGTTTATTCTGTTCCATTGGTCTATGTGTCTATTTTATACCAGCATCATGCTGTTTTGATGGCTATGGCTTTATAGTATAGTTGGAAATCAGATATGTGATGCCTCCAGATTTCTTCTTTTTACTTAGTCTTGCTTTGGCTATGTGGGCTCTTTCTTGGTTCCATATGAATTTTAGAATTGTTTTCTCTAATTCTGCGAAGAATGATGATGGTATTCTGATGGGGATTGCATTGGATTTGTAGTTTGCTTTTGGCAGTATGGTCATTTTCACAATATTGATTCTACTCATCCATCAGCATGGGATGTGTTTCCATTTGTTTGTATCATCAATGATTTATCTCATCAGTGTTTTGTAGTTTTTCTTTTAGAGGTCTTTTGACTCCTGTGTTAGGATATTCCTAAGTATTTTATTTTATTTTATTTTTTGCAGCTATTGTAAAAGGGGTTGAGTTCTTGATTTGATTCTCTGCTCGATCGCTGTTTGGTGTATAGATGAGCTACTGATTTGTGTACATTAATCTTGTATTCGGAAATTTTGCTGAATTCTTTTATCAGTTCTAGGAGCTTTCTAGAGGAGTCCTTAGGGTTTTCAAGGTAAACAATCATCATCATCAAACAGTGACAGATTGATTTCCTCTTTGCTGACTTAGATGCCCTTTATTTCTTTCTTTTGTCTGATTGCTTTGGCTAGGACTTCCATTACTACGTTGAAGAGGAGTGGTGAGAGTGGGCATTCTTGTCTTGCTCTAGTTCTCAGAGGGAATGCTTTCATCTTTTCCCCATTCAGTATTATATTGGCTGTGGGTTTGTCATAGATGGCTTTTATTACATTAAGGTATGTCCCTTGTATGCCAATTTTGCTGAGTTTTAATCATAAAGGGATGCTGGATTTTGTTGAACTTTTTTTTTTTGTATCAATTGAGGTGATCATGTGATTTTTGTTTTTAATTCTGTTTATGTGGTGTATCACATTTATTGGCTTGTGTATGTTAAACCATCCCTGCATCCCTGGTATGAAACCCACTTGATCATGGTGGGTTATCTTTCTGATATGTTGTTGAATTTGGTTAGCTAGTTTTTTTTTTTTTTAAGGATTTTAGCATCTATGTTCAGCAAGGATATCAGTCTGTCATTTTCTTTTTTGGTTATGTCCTTTCCTGGTTTTGGTATCAGGGTGAGGCTGGCTTCATAGAATGAATTAGGAAGGGTTCCTTCTTTCTCTATCTTGTGGAATAGTGTCAATAGGATTGGTAGCAATTCTTTTTTGAATGTCTGGTAGAATTCTGCTGTGAATCCATCTGGTCCTGGACTTTCTTTTGTTGGTAATTTTTTTTTTGAGATGGGGTCTCAGTTTGTCACCCAGGCTGGAGTGCAATGGCACAAGCTTGGCTCACTGCAACCTCTGCTGCCCAGGCTCAAGCAATTCTCCTGCTTCGGCCACCCAAGTAGCTGGGATTATAGACGCCTCCCACTGCACCTGGCTAATTTTTGTATTTTTAGTACAGACAGGTTTTCACCATCTTGGCCAGACTGGTCTTGAACTCCTGACCTCATGATCCACTGGCCTTGGCCTCCCAAAGTGCTGGGATTACAGGCATGAGCCACTGCGCTCGGCCCTTGTTGGTAATTTTTAAATTGCCATTTCAATGTCACTGCTTGTTATTGGTCCGTTCGGAGTATCTAATTTTTCCTGATTTAAGCTAGGTGGGTTGTATTTTTCCAGAAATTTATCCATGTCTTCTAGGTTTTCTAGTTTATGTGCATAAAGGTGTTCATAATAGCCTTGCATGATCTTCTGTATTTCTGCGGTGTCGGTTGTAATATCTCCCATTTCATTTCTTAATGAGGTTATTTGGATTTTCTCTCTTCTTTTATTGGTTAATCTTGCTAATGGTCTATGCATTTTATTTACCTTTTCAAAGAACCAGTTTTTGTTTCATTTATCTTTTGCATTTTTGTTGTTGTTTCAATTATATTGTGCTCTGATCTTGGTTATTTCCTTTCTACTGCTGGATTTGGGTTCAGTTTGTTCTTGTTTCTCTAGTTCCTAGGTGTGACCTTAGATTGTCTGTTTACAGTCTTTTAGATTTTTGATGTAGGTGTTTAGGGCTGTGAACTTTCCTCTTAGCACCACCTTTGCTGTATCCCAGAGGTTTGATAGGTTGTATCATTACTGTAATTCAGTTCAAAGAATTTTTAAATTTCCATCTTGATTTCATTTTTGACCCAATGCTCATTCAGGAGCAGGTTATTTGATTTCCATGTATTTGCGTGGTTTTGAAGGTTCCTTTTGGAATTGATTTCCAGTTTTATTCCACTGTGGTCTGACAGAGTGCTTGATATAATTTCAGTTTTCTTAAATTTATTGAGGCTTGTTTTATGACCTATCATATGGTCTATCTTGGAGAAAGTTCCACGCACTGTTGAATAGAATGTATATTTTGCAGTTGTTGGATGAAATGTTATGTATATATCTGTAAAGTCCATTTATTCCAACATATAGTTTAAATCTGCTGTTTCTTTGTTGATTTTCGGTCTTGATGACCGGTCTAGTGTTGTCAGTGGAGTACTGAAGTCCCCCACTATTATTTTGTTGCTGTCTATCTCATTTCTTAGGTCTATTAGTAATTGTTTTATAAATTTGGGAGCTCCAATGTTAGGTGGATATATGTTTAGGATTGTGATATTTTCCTGTTATACAAGGTCTTTTACCATGATATACTGTCCCTCTTTGTCTTTCTTAACCACTGTTGCTTTAAAGTTTGTTTTGTCTGATATGAGAATAGCTACCCCTGCTCACTTTTGGTGTCCACTGGCATGAAATGCCTTTGTCCACCTCTTTACTTTAAGTTTATATGAGTCCTTATGTGTTAGGTGAGTCTCCTGAAGGAAGCAAATAGTTGATGGGTGAGTTCTTATCCATTCTGAGGTTCTGTATCTTTAAAGTGGAATATTTAGGCCATTTACATTCAAAGTTAGTATTGAAATACAAGGTACCATTGCTTTCATCATGCTCTTTGTTATCTGTGTACTTCGGATTTTTGTTTTTGCTTTTTAACTTGTATTTTTGTTTTAGAGGTCTTGTGTGATTTATGCTTAAAGAGGTTCTGTTTTGATGTGTTTCCAGAATTTGTTTCAAGATTTAGAGCTCCTTTTAGCAGTTGTTGTAGTGGTGGTTTGGTGAAATTCTCTCAGGATTTGTTTGTGTGAAAAACAACTGTACCTTTCCTTCATATATGATGCTTAGTTTCATTGGATACAAAATTCTTGGCTAAAAATTCTTTTGTTTGAGGAAGTTGAAGATAGGTCCTCAATCCCGTCTAGCTTGTAGGGTTTCTACTGAGAAATCTGTTGTTAATCTGATAGATTTTCCTCTATAGGTTACCTGGTGCTTCCATCTCACAGCTCTGAGGATTCTTTCCTTTGTCTAAACTTTGGATAATCTGATGACAACGTGCCTTGGCGAAGATCTTTTTGCAATGGATTTCCCAGGTGTTCTTTGTGCTTCTTGTATTTGCATGTCTAGGGCTGTCACAAAGCTGGGGAAGTTTTCCTTGATTATACCCTAAATATGTTTTCCAGGCTTTTAGAATTCTTTTCTTCCTCCAGTACACCGATTATTCATAGGTTCAGTTGTTTAACATAATCCCAGACTTTTGGGGGCTTTGTTCATATTTTCTTATTCTTTTTTCTTTGTCTTTGTTGGACTGGGTTAATTTGAAGATCTTGTTTTTGAGCTCTGAATTTCTTTCTTCTACTTGTTCAATTCTATCACTGAGACTTTTGAGAGCATTTCACATTCCTAAAAGTGTGCCTAAAGTTTCCTGAATTTTTGATTTTTTTTCTTTAAGCTATCTATTTCCAGGAATATTTCTCCTTTCACTTCTTGTGTCATTTTTTTTGGATTTCTTTGGACTGGTCTTCACCTTTCTCTGGTCCCTCTCTGATTAACTTAAGAACTAACCTCCTGAATTCTTTTTCGGGTAAATCAGGGATTTCTTCTTGGTTTGGATCCATTGCTGGCGAACTAGTATGATTGTTTTGGGGGGTGTTGAAGAGCCTTGTTTTGTCGTATTACCAGGGTTGGTTTTCTGGTTCCTTCTCATTTGGGCAGGCTCCATCACAGGGAAGGTCTAGGGCTGAAGGCTGTTGTTCAGATTGTTTTGTCCCACTGGGTGTTCCCTTGATATAGGCGCTCTCCCTTTTCCTATGGATGTGGCTTCCTGGGAGCCGAACTGCAGTGATTGTTGTCTCTCCTCTGGGTCTAGCCACCCAGTGAGTCTGCCTGGCTCCAGGGTGGTACTGGAGGTTGTCTGCATAGAGTCCTGTGATATGAACCATCTATGGGTCTCTCAGCCATGGATACCAGTGCCTGTTTTGGTGGAGGTGGCAGAGGGTGCAATGGACTCCATGAGGGTCCTTACTTTTGGTGGTTTAATCCTTTGTTTTTGTGCCGGTTGGCCACCTGCTAGGAGGTGGAGCTCTCCAGAAAGCATCAGCTGCAGTAGTCTGGAGAGGGACTGGTGGTGGGCAGGGCCTTAGAACTCCCAATATTATATGCCCATTGTCTTCTACTACTAGGCTGGATAGGGAACGACCATCAGGTCGAGGCACGGCTAGGCATGTCTGAGCTCAGACTCTTCTTGGGCAGGTTTTGCTGCCACTGCTGTTGGTGATGGGGTGAGATTCCCAGGTCATTGGAGTTGTGTACCTAGGAGAATTATGGCTGCCTTTGCTGATTCATGCAGGTTGTCAGGAAAGAGGGGGAAAGCCGGCAGTCAAAGGCCTCATCGAGCTCCCGTGCAAACTGAAGGGCCAGTCTCACTCCCACTGTGCCCCCACCCTGCCAACAGCCCCAAGTCTGTTTCCAGGTGGAGGATGAGATGGGCTTGAAAATTTGTGTGAGGCTATCCACCTCCCAGAGTATTTGGGGTGTCTCCTGGGTGCTACAGAAGCAGTCTGTTTCCTTCAGAGGGTCTGGGGGTTTTCTCGGGATTGCTGGTTTGTTCTTGCAGTTGACCTGGAGCTAAAATTCACAGTGCAAAACTGCATGCTGCAGAGTTGTAATCTAGTCCTGCTTTCTGTCTGCCACGATCCCTCATTTTTGCCAAACAAAAGATTTTAAAGAGGTCTTACATCAATGCCTACAATTTTTTTTTTTCCAACCAAATATAGAAAATGAGACCACTGCCATCACAATGGAAGTGGAAAAGCGGAACTCCACTCCTGACCCATCTCTAAACTAGACAGCTCTTTAAGGCACCAATATCTTAAAATCTTTGTAGTACCTTAGTTTGCAGCTTTATTGCCACGACATGTGCAAGATGATGCTCCAATGATCAGAAGACTGTATGATCTTTGATACAAAATGAGCTGAGTACCTAGGTGTTGCGTTCACTAGTCAAGTGAACACCCCTGAAGTTGATTATGCTTGTGAACTTACAATCATGACCTTCATTAGGAGGGTCCTAACTTTATTGAATCTTTTGCCCTCTCATGATATAAAAGAGGGATTACATTTTGCATGACAATATTATATTAGGTGAATTATAGGAGTACACTTTGTTCCAATGATTTCTTTCTCAGACTATGTTTTCATAGACCTGAAATGTTTTTTGCTACTTTTCACCTGGATAATTCTTATTTATTTTTCTCATATTTTAATTTAAGTATCATATCCTCATAGAGTCCTGTCCTATCCTCCAATTAAATCAGGACTGCCTGTTTGACTCCGACAACACCTTATCATAGTACTTGTCAAAAATAAATTTATTTGTGATTATTTATTTACTATACATGATTGCTAATAGATTATGATCTTCAAAAAGCCAGTGTTTTCACTGTATATCCAACAACTGGCATAGTGCCTGGCAAATGGTAGGTACTTGATAAATATTTGTTGAGGGAATAAAGCATAAAATCTCCCAAAATAGGACAAATGACTTACCAGTGATATGGACGTGATTAGTTTTCATAGATCCATTGGCAGTTGTGGGGACTTCTGAAAATGCTCTGGTTGTGCTGGTAAAGACATTGTCTAGGAATATAACGGGGATATCTGGACAAGACATCTCAACTTGATCAAGTGGTATAATATCATGACTGGGTTTCATATGCTATTTGAAAGAACTCAATTTAAATTGTCTAAGTATCCCTTAAATATTATGTGTAAAGTTTATTAAGAACCAATTTATCGCAAGGCTGGAATCCTGAGATTTGTCTAACAATTGCCAAAGGAATAAAATTTCCTATTGGTTGAAAAAAAAATTCCTATTAATTGAAAAAAATATCCTATTGGTTGAAAACAGGAAAATTTCCTATTGGTTGAAAAAAAAATAAAAAAGAAGCTCCATACTTCCAAACAACAAAATGATGTCCGCTGAAGAATCTCCATGAGAAATGTAAGTGGTACAGAAAAAGGCCAGAGTTGGGGGTCATGGATAAGTGAGGCTCTAATCCTATTCTCTTGGTATGAGAGGTTCAGCTGATCAAAGTACTGATTCTTCTCCACATCAATGTGTTTGATAAGGTTAATAAAAACTCCTTTGCAACATTAGACTAGACAAATACATGTTGACTAATTATTCTATTTTCCAATAAAATACTGAAATATATTTTTCATAGATATAACTAGTAAAAAATGCTATTGTGTAGATTTTTTTTGAAATAAAATGTATAAAAATCTAAGGCTTGGTCTCTATCGTCTTTGAATGGCTGAAAAGAATTTTGATTCCATTCATTGTAATTTTCATCATCAAGATGTACTTTTATGTATCTATCTGAGGCTGGCTTCTTATCAGTTCTTGTTTTTACATCTGTGTCCAAATAAAGCTGACCACTACCTTCAGTGTCTCTAAATCTTCCCCAGGTACTCACCATGAAGTGCTGAGCCTGCGCCCGAGGGGGATGAACTGTATGTTTCACTGGGTATCTGTGAAAATGCTAAAGGAAGAAGATATCAGAAGAGTTAACCTATATATACTAGTTATTCTATTATCTCTTCTTGACTGCTAATTTAATCTAATAATTATAAAAAAGGATATTAATGAATACTTAAAGCAAAATCATTAAACTGTTCCATAGCACACACTAGAATGTCCTCAAACAAAGTGGGAGTTGAAGGGATTCTTGCAGTTCCGATGTCCATATGGAAAGAAAACACTAGAAGGGGTTCCTCTAGCCAGAGTGTGTCATGCTCATTCCATAGATGAGCCAAAAAAATGGAAGAGAATGAAGGTCCAGGTGTGTTATGGTGGCGTTTAGTCAAGGAAAGCTGCCAATAGGACTTTGAGGACCTTGCTAGAACATGCATAAGGGAAGAAAACACTTTGTACTTGTGGGTCAGCTGACAGTCTTGCTGAACTGAGAAAACGAAACGTGTCAGCAGTGAATTATCAGACCCCTGTGGCCACAGGCCTTGTCAGCTGCTGAGTGAATCCTTTTGAAGCATTTAGAGGCAAACCTTCCCCTTGAGTGGATGGCAGCAAACTCAGACAGCACATATGGCTTTTGAAATAGATCTAACAACTCATTTTGTTTATTGCCCTGTCTCTGGCAAGAAAGATTCGCTCCTTGGCAGACACCACATATCTGTATTTGATAAAAGGCCTGCAGTGCAATGTAAAGTAAAATAACTACAGTAATGCATGGTTGTAATCAGTACAAATATATTACATCCATTCATTTAAAATATTAGCATACGTGATGTTCGTAGTTAAAAGCTTTCTTGTATGTCAAGACCAAATCAAATGAGCAATACCAAAATAAAACAAACCACACCCTCAGCCCTCCCCTTTCCTTGTTTCTCCTTAGATGCCAATAGCAGCTGCAGTTGCTGACAGAGGTGTGTGATCAGGCCCTCCAGAAGAGGTGAGAGTCCATTCTTTAGGGCTTGATTACAGGACAATTGGTCATAGCTATTTCCATTTGGGGTCACCTGAGAAGAGTGGTTTCATATGCAGCTTTTTTACAGTCTGAGTTCAGGGAGATGTTCTTATTTTCAGTATAACTCTCTGATCCTGCATACGTGATCTTTATTAATTTTTTGTCCTAGACAGAATACCAAGGCCTATTGACGATGATGGACTAAGCGTTTTTTAATGATTATACCATTAGCCAAATTTGATTTCCAAAGAACAATAACTAACTGAAAAACAATTGGGACCAGGCCTAGATTTAGGTAAAAGTATGAAAAAGGCAGTTAACCTTGTAGTTTTTTTGCTAAATACGGTATGGTGACTCCTTTAATTTCTTACTTTCTAAACTTGATGTCTTTATTTTGCATCTCATCAAAGTATGTTTGCAAGAAAGAATGAGATAAATTAATTTATGCTAAAATCTAAACGGCTGAATAAGTGCTATCCATTTAAGGAAAATGGGTATTTAAAAAATATTTTCCATTTTATGTTTATTATCAGTGAGTCAATGTAGAACATTTTGTAATGGTTAGTGATGTGTGGACACTAATAGTTTTCAGCAAGTATACAGTGCCAGGTTTTTCTGGTCAATATTGATTTTCCCCAAGCAAAATAACCTAACATAACACAATTTCAGGAGATGGTCATACCATCAGCACAATTACAAATTACAAACATTACAACACTTAAAAGTATGCAATTTTCTTTTTGTAATTTCATAAAACTTCTTTTTGGACTTTTAGTAACTTTCCCAATTTTAAAAGACCCCTCATAATAATTAAAAAATCAAAAAACATAAGCCACTTTGGAAAAGTAGGGAGTTATTTTTCTAATTTTGACTTTGAGGTTTTTTGTTTTTGTTTTTAATCTGTTAACAACAGGTAGTGGGAAGTATGGTGAGAGATGAAGAAAATGGAGTTTCCTGTTGATGGATTCCAATGTCTGAAAATACTTAAATACATAAAAGTAAACTTTCAAGACCAGAAATATATTGTAAAAAATAGTCTTTCATCAAGGTGAAGAGATGAACAATTCTGGTACCACTTGCTCTTGCAGAAGAGAACATCCTGAAGAATGCTTGTTTATAGAATCCTCTGTAAGACACAGTTGGCTACTTCTAGTGATTCATCTTATGATGAAACAATACTTTCTTGAATGCTTATCCACTCTATCATTTAGAGATCTAATTTTCAGAATGTGAAAATTTGGCTAATTTGTATGCCCTTTTAAAGTCTTCTTGGGAGTCTCAGCAGAATTATGTTACCATTGTTTCTTTTTTTTGAGACAGAGTTTCGCTCTTGTTACCCAGGCTGGAGTGCAATGGTGTAATCTCACTCACTGCAACCTCCGCCTTCCAGGTTCAAGTGATTCTCCCGCCTCAGCCTCCCGAGTAGCTGGGATTACAGGTATGTGCCACCATGCCCGGCTGATTTTGTATTTTTAGTAGAGACAGGGTTTCTCCATGTTGGTCAGGCTGGTCTCAAACTCCTGACCTCAGGGGATCTGCCTGCCTCAGCCTCCTAAAGTGCTGGGATTACATGCGTGAGCCACTGCACCTGGCCGCTATTGTCTTTGAATTGACTGAAATGTTCTGTGTACTTCAAGGCAACATCATGTTCATTAACTGCATGAGGTAATTCTCCTTTAAATCCTTTGAGTACACATTTTCACAAATCCACAAACAAATGCTACGTTGACATTCGGATGACAAACACCAGCTTGACTGATAAACTTCTCTACGGCACCAATATCTGCTGAAAATATGCACATGGATACCGTGTTACTGAAGCTTCTCAAGTAAATTATTATATCCTTCCTTGAGCATAACATCAAGTTCTTCCACAATTTCTTTAAATTTCATTTTTTGGTAAAGCTTGTTCAACAAAGACACTATGTTGGGCAGCATACTATTCTACCATAAATGGGTACTTCTCTTGAAGTTAACAGGTTCAACTTCAATAATAAAATATTTTTCCTTCAGTTGCAATAACCTCTTTGACATTCGCCTGTGACAAGTTTATAGTTGTCAATCATATTATGACACATTAGGCATCTTTTCCCATGGTAGGAAAATCTACTTAGTGTCATATCAAAGTCCATTATTATTAAAGTTTGGTATCTTCCTTTAATAAAACCACAGATAATTTGTTATCTTTGCAGGGTTCTTGATGCAAACTGAACTTTTCTGGAATTCTTGCATCATTTCTACATGCACAGCAGACTTTTGATAAGTCACTTCTTAGCTATTCAATATTCCTTAAGGCATTCTGAGTTCTTCTGCTTTTGATTGTATCCTTGAAACAACAGTATAGGTGGCAAACTATATCCAGAGATGCAAGGCCTGGCCACAGGAATCTTGATGATCTTGATTTTTCATCTCATCTTCCTTTTCAAGGTGAGTATGTACTGGGCCAGGACCACCTCTGCCACCCAGGTGCACACACTGGTGCTAGCTTCTGTGCCCACTTTTGTCATGTCCACCTGGTCCACAAATACGGCCCTCATACTCTTGTTGACAAAGATGACACTCACAAGCTTTGGAATCTTGGGGCTTGTGCCTTAACCATGGGGAAACCCATGAAGCTCCCAGAAATTTGTGCAGGCATGCCTGACTTTATTGCACATCACAGACACAGATACTGCTTTATTTATTTATTTATTTATTTATTTTACAAATTGAAGGTTTGTGGCAACCCTGTGTCAAGCAAGTCTACAGGTGCCATTTTTCCAACAGCATGTGCTCAATTCATGTCTTTTCATGTCTTTGTGCCACATTTTGGTAATTCTTGCAATATTTCAAACTTTCATATTATTGTTATTTCTATTAGAGTAATGTGCGATCAGGGATCTTAGATGTTACCATTGAAATTGTTTTGAGGCACCACAAACTGCACCCGTAGAAGATGGAGAACTTAATTGATAAATGTTGTGTGTGTTCTGACTGCTTCACTTACTGGTGGTTCTCCCATTTCTCTTCCTCTCCTTGGGCGTCTTTTTTTTTTCTTTAATCTGAGACAAAACAATATCCAAATTCGGCCAATTAATAATCCTAAAACAGCCTCTAAATGTTCAAAGGAAAGGAAGAGAAGCACGTTTCTCAGTTTAAATCAAATGCTAGAAATAATTAAGCTTAGTGAGGAAGATATGTCAAAAGCTGAGACAGGCTCAAAGCTAGGTCTTTTGGGCCAAATCGTTAGCCAAGTTGTGAATGCAAAGAAAAAGTTCTTGAAGGCAACTAAAAGTGTCACCTTAGGGAACACATAAATGATAACACTGCTGATATGGAGAAAATTCGAGAATATGTGGTGTTTGGTTTTCTGTTCCTGCATTAGTTTGCTGAAAATAACAGGTTCCAACTCCATCCATGTCCCTGCGAAGGACAAGATCTCATTCCTTTTTATGACTGTATAGTATTCCATGGTGTATATGTATTACATTTTCTTTATCCAGTCTATTATTGATGGGTATTTAGGTTGATTCCATGTCTTTGCTATTGTGAACAGTGCTGCAATGAACATACTTGTGCATGTGTCTTGAATAATAGAATGATTTATATTCCTTTGGGTATACACTCAGTAATGGGATTGCTGGGTCGAATGATATTTCTGCCTCTAGGTCTTTGAGGAATTGTCACAATGTCTTCCACAATGTTGAACTAATTTACACTTCTGCCAACAGCGTAAAAGCATTCCTTTTTCTCCACACCCTCACCAGCATCTGTTGTTTTTTGACTATTTAGTAATAGACATTCTGACTGAGATGATATCTCATTGTGGTTTTGATTTGCCTTTCTCTAATGATCAGTGATGTTGAGCTTTTTTTTTTCATGTTTCTAACCACACGCATGTCTTCTTTTGAGAACTGTCTGTTCATGTCCTTTGCCCACTTTTTAATGGGGTTGTTTGTTTTTTGCTTGTAAATTATTTATAGATGCTGGCTATTATACCTTTTTCAGATGGATAGATGGCAAAAATTTTATTCCATTCTGTAGGTTGTCTGTTTGCTCTGTTGATAGTTTCTTTTGCT